ATAGGTTGAGCATACTCAACTATCGATTGGATGTTCCTGAAAAACCAAGGTCCTCAGCTTCTGCCAACTTATATAGAAAGAGTTTTAAGAGACCTACTGGAGTCCGGACAGTCTCGTCATTTCCAGATTTCTTTGATGATGTTCCAGGTAGTGGCAACTATTTGGCATACAGAGCAGAAATATTCTGTGCTCTACCAGAGGAAACTATGGAAGACTTCAAGGTCCCTCTGGTGAACACACTGGTCATTGGTCTTCACTCAGGAGCTGGTCTGCCAAAGGATGGCAAGAATGCTCTCAAAGATTCTGTCAATAGGAAGAATGAGAAAAAAGTCACACAAGGCTTCTTCCCTGGTTCTTAGGGTGTCAGCCATGTTGTCCAATTTCACCCAAGCAGTTATTATCTGGGCAATTGTCATCTGGACAGACAATCTACTACAGAACCTGGAGGCAGAACCACTAAACCTAAAGAGGTTTTTGCTGAAAATAAAGAAAGCAGCCAAGTTCGCTTCTGATGCCTCAAAAGTCACCACCCAGTTCTGTGCTAGAGCGCAAGCAGCCAATATCATTATCAGAAGCTATATCTGGTTAAAACAATGGAAAGTGGATCCTTTATCAAAAAGTAATCTATCATCAGAGGAGTTTTCTGGAAGGCTTCTTTTTGGAGAATTTACCCTAGACAAGGTGTTAGTAGAAGCTAAAGAGAAAAAGGCCATGCCCTGAACCTCGGCAGCAAGAGACAAGGACAACAGAAAAGTCTCCCAAGGATTTCAGGGGATTCAGATCCTTTGAATACAGACCGAAACTTCACCAGAAACCTCCTCCAGCCTTTAGACAGGACAAGAGCACAACAGCCAAAAAGAGCACCACATTATTTCATAGGATGCTGTCTCCAATTCTTCTCAGAGATTTGGCGGACATCAACACAGGACAAATGAGTCCTTTCTAAATAGAAGAAGGCTACAAAATAGAGTTTCTGTCTCCCTACCACAACCATTTTGTTCTTTCTCCAATTCCCAGTTCTCAAAAAGACATTATTTACTGCAACAGGCAACTGTTTATCTGGTGCAGATAGGGGTGGTAGAGGAAGTCCCCAAAAATCAATGCTTCAAGGGCGTTTATTCTGTTCTGTTTGTAGTTCCCAAGAGGTTGAAGGACTGGAGACCAATTCTAAATCTGAAAGGTCTAAACAACTGGGTCAGAAAATGCAAATTCTGAATGGAATCCCTCTGTCATATTTTACAAGTGATACAAGAGGACGGTTTTCAAATGTCCTTAAATCTCAGGGAGACATATCTATATATTCCTATACATCCATCTACAGGCAATATCTCCAGTTTTCTTTCCGAGCCCAGCTTTATCAGTACAAGGCCTTATCCTTTGACCTTTCTGTTTCTCCAAGGGTCTTCATGAAAGTAATAGTTGCTCTGGAGCAAAGCTACATCAGATGAGGGTTCATGTCTATCCTTATGTCGACAGCATTTTAATCTGGGCCAAGGATGCTGGAACAGCTGTCCAGTATCCAGAACAAACAGTGAGTTTTCTATAGTGGCATGGACTGTAGAAAAACCAGATATCCCCAGAAGAGAAACCAGATGTCCCTGAACAGAAAAACCAGATGTTCCCCCACAAGAGACATCATATGTCTGGGAGCCAGGATCCATACTCATTTAGCCAAAGTCTTCCTACCTTTGGAAAAACAACAGAAAATCTCAATGCTTGTAAAAGAGATCTGGAAAAGCCAGTACACAGACATGCAGCTGTCATCACATCCTCCTGGGTATGATGATTTCGGCAATAGACTAGGGTCCCTGGTCCCATCTTCTTTCAAAAAGGCTACAGTGGACTTTACTTCCCTTTCAGAAGGACATCATGAGATGCAGGCACAACCAGGCTAGGATAATGAACTGCTTGAAGAAGGACTTAAAGTGGTAGACACTACCGTCAAACCTCTCCAGAGGAGTCAGTCTCCTACAATGACATCAAGTGGTCCTGACAACAGATGTCATCAAGAGAGGCTAGGGAGCACATTGCCAGAGCCTGTTGGTGCAAGTGGCACAGCTCAGAATGAAAACGCAGCATAAACTTGGAAGAGCTTTGAGCAGACTGGCTCTCTTGGCTTTTCAACAGTGCCTGTTAAGCATGTGCTAGTGCGCACAGACAACATATCGACAAAAGCACATGTTAACCATAAGGGGGCACCAGATAAATGTTGCTGTTCAATAAAACCAGACTCCTTCTAAACTGGACAAAAAATAATCTTGCCAGTTTAAGAGCAGAACACTTAAAAGGTCTGATCAATCTGGAAGCAGATTGGCTAAGCAGGAACGATCTGGACTGGGAAGAGATCTTTCAGCAAATTACTTACAGGTTCAGGAATCCAATCGATGACCTCCTGGCGTCTGCAAGCAACCCGAAAGTCACAGGCTTCTCTCAGGATTCCATGACCCATGTATCCATAGCCCAAAGGTCTTCTATACACCTTCACTACTCTTCTGCTCATCAGTAGAGTACAGAACAGGATAAGGAGGGAAGAGGCAGAGATAATTTTCGTAGCTGGCCCAGATGACCTTGATTTTTGGAGCTGATTCAAATGTCAACAGCAACTCTGTGGGAGCTACCAGAAGTTCAGGACTACTTGACTCAAGGGCCAATTGCTCACCCAGATCCAATGTGGCTCCATCTGATGGTGTGGAAATTGAATGGTCATACTTAGAGGCACAAAGTTTCCTTGCAGATGTAGTGGACATTATGTTGAAGTCCAGAAGACCTGCCACTAGACAAATCTACAATCACACTTGGCTAACTTTTTTTAAATGGGCAGAAAATAAACAGTTGGATCCTCTACAGCCTTCTTATAAACACATACTTTTTCTACATGAAGGTTGGGAAAAAGGATTAAGGCCTAACACTTTAAGTAGATAGGTTGCAGCACTCATTGTGGTCTTACGGCCAAAGAGATTCAAGAATTTGTCAGCTAATATGCACATTAAATGATTTCTGAGGGGAACTGTACAACTAGCTCCACCTGCGAGGTACAGATTCCCAACTTGGAGCCTTTCCATAGTACTTTGGGCCCTTACAAAAGCCCCCTTTGAATCTTTTAAATCTACATATCTTAAGTACCTTTCATGGAAAGTTGCCTTTTTAGTAGCAATAACATCAATGAGAAGGGTATCAGAACTAGCTGCCTTATCATCCAGAAATGAATTCTGTGTCTTCCAAAAATACTATTACAGTGAGAACAGATTCATCCTTCATGCCTAAGGTCAATTCTGAGTTCCATATCAACCAGTTGGTAATTTTTCCTTCTTTCTCTCCAAGGCTGACTCACCCTAAAGAAAAGTTGTGACATAAACCAGATGTGCATAGAGTGCTGCACAGCTACCTGAATAGAATAGCTAACCTCAGTCTTACTTATTCTCTGTTTATACAGCAGCCAAAATCTGGGCAAAAAAGTGTCAAAGTCATCTATAGCCTTCTGGGTAAAATAATGCACAAGGCATACGAGGTACAGGAGTCTGGCTCTGCCTTGAAGCATGACAGTTCACTCAGCCAGGGCTGTAGCAACTATGGCAGCCTTATCTACTAGAGCATCTGTGCTGGAAATCTGCAGAACAGCAGCTTGGCCCACCTTTTCAGCTTCCATAAAACATTATAGAATGGACCAGATTAACTCAGCAGAGGCTTCCTTTGGCCAAAGGGTGCCACAACAGATTGTGGAGTCTTAAAGCATAAGTTGAAACCACCCCTAGACATAGCTTGGGTACAGCTTCCATTTTGAATGACTTCTCCCACTGAAAGAGAATGAAACATTGGAACCTACCTGAAAGTTTCTTCTTTTCAGTGGGGTGAAGGCATCCGCAACCCACCCAAGGTAAATAAGACACACACACACACACAAATAAAATTGGATTTTAGAGAATGATGGACAGCTGGGCTTGGACACGACTGGAGGGTCAGCCTTTGATCTCTCCAACAGGGGTACTAGCAAAAATCTGCATAGCCCTGCCCAGAGCGAGTGTAGGTGTGGCCTAACCATTTTGGATGACTTCACCCCACTGAAGCGAAGAAACCTTCAGGTAGGTTCCAACATTTCATTCCCTTCTTAAGCTGTCATGCAGCTAACTAGTAGTGCAGTCCTGTCCTGAGTTACTCCAATCTTAAATCTGTTGACCTCAATGGATTTAGAGTGGAGTAACTGAATAGGATTATACTGTGAATTTATGTACCAGGAGGCAGAATTTATTGTGAACTAAAAACAGTCTATTGTTGCTGGTATTGTTAGGCTCAGAGTTCCAAAGTCCACTACCAGCAATTTGAGAAACTGCTACCAATGCCTGTCTTGGCTGTAACCAAACTGGAGCTAAAAGCCAACCCGTATCTGATGGTAGTTGGAATTGGGAGCTGTCAGTGGTTGGAAAAGTAGCAGGAATCATAATGGTGTACTTACAACTCAAGTGAGTGAATTGGTGGGGAATGGTAACTAGAAGGATGGTTAGATGGTAGCGAAAGAATCTCCTACTTAATGTGATAAGTCTCTTCCTCCTGAACGGATAGTAAAAGGAATGGATTGTATTGTGGGTATCTAAAAGTTATGCCAGGCCTGTAGGAGCCACCCTATCCTTGCTAGAATAGATTTGATTGAACATTTGGATCTTGGTGCTTTATAGCAGGACAGGGCTTGTGTAATGGAAGTATTATGTCAACAGCTGTGTTGCAGTGTGTAGGCTATACTTACTCAAAATAAGCAGTTAAAATTAGCTATAATTGTTGATTATGTAACTATTGTGACTTGTCATACAGAATCCCTGGTATCTTTTTACAGTCTAATAATAGAAGACAAGGAATGTGAGCTATGTAATGGGGGTTAATAAGAGGCTGTTTATGGGCATTCTGTGTATCTTTTAACAAAAAAGTTTTTTGGGAAAATATAATTTTAATTTTGTCTCCTTTTCTCCTTCTGTCCCACTCAATATGCCATAACACTGACATTACCCAAGATTGCTGTGTTCATTGTATCTTGGCCTGCCTGTTCTGCGAATTCATCACTCTCTGCAGCCTTGTCCTGGGACAAGCATCATGTGGTATCTGCCCGTCAGAGGCCTGCTGTTGCTGCTGTGGGGAGGAAATGGGAGATGACTGTAACTGTCCGTGTGACATGGACTGTGGCATAATGGACGCTTGTTGTGAATCATCAGACTGTTTGGAAATCTGCATGGAATGCTGTGGGATTTGTTTCCCATCATGAGACACTTCATGTATTTATGACATAGTTTTTAATAAAATATTGTTTAAAAACTGGAGAGGGTTGTTTTTTAAAGAAACCCATAGGAAGGACACTGTTTGAATCTTTCACAGCAACCTAGTTCTATGCACTGTTAACTACTTTTTGAAGAATTGTGGGAAAGCATAAGCATACCCATAAGAACTAATAGGGTAGTGATCTCATGTGTGAACTTACTTTTCTGTGCCTTGATGTTGCCTATGTAAAGGGCTCTGTCATTTGGTCACACAAGTGAAAGTACCATTTTTAGCTGCACCTGGATAAAGTCAGGAATGTCTGAGCCATTTAAAATTTCCTAAAAACGTGAAGAGCTGATCACTTCTTTTAAAAAGAAAGGATCTTAGAACAGATAGAAACAGCAGTTGGAGTAAAGTGGATTTTTTAAAAATTCAGACTTTCACTTTAGTGCCTTTCTCTGTGTTAAATACTGATACTGCTGTTTTGAAACAAATAATTTTAGTAGAACTGTTATGTGACTCTTTGTAGTCTAATAGCAATGTGAAGACGTGGTGCTTTTGGAGTTTTGTGAACTATTTTTCCCATCTAAACATCAAATAATTTAAGTCTATCTGAAGTGTTTCACAATCTAATTCATATTTTAAGAATACAGTTCAGCCCCTTACAAATATTTTTGCACTATATATAATATTTTAAAGCTGTATATTCTGAACTTGAGGACAGCTGTGGCCATTGTCTCCTCCCTGCCCCCCAAAAGCCTTGTTTATAAACAGCTGCCAACTGATGCGCCCGAGAAACTCAAGATCTTGACATTGACTACAGTGTAAAAAATTCAGATTGTGGAAGACTTGGATTGTCTGAAAGAAATTGCAGCTTGGCTGTATAGGAGATGCTTCCCAAAGCAAAGAATGAATTAGATTCAATTGGATTTTTAAAAGTGTTACAGTTGTTATTGTTATTTTTGTGAAGGCTTAGTGCAGTATTAGACTTCGTTGATCTGGTTCTTCAAAGAAGAAATGTTGTCCTGTGCTTCACCAGATGGCTCTGTATTAAATGATTTGGATGAAGCAACAACATATTTATTTAATTGTACCTCTGAAATCAAAATCTGGCTCAGTGTACCAGTTAATTTCAAAATTTTCACATGACGGTGCTAAATTTATCTTAAAGTTTTTGAGTAATTCTTGTAACATTTGCTCGGCTTAAATAAACTGCCTGGTTATCCAAATCTTCCTTGTTGCTCCAACTTTTGATACAAACTTTGCAGTGGCCGGTTCGCTTTTCTCATTTTCAGGCCTTAGTTAGGAATTCTGTTTAATTGGACTGTTCAGTTGGGGGAGGGGAAGCATGAGAATGAAAACTTAAACCCGAACTTTCAAACATGGACTTACCAGTGTTTACTACTGTCAGTTCTTACTGAAAAAGAGAACTGAGATACTTGCAAGGAGGCTTGCCACATCTAAATGTGGAGGGAATAACTTTTCCTACTAAGTTGAGCTATTCTCATTTGTTAGTGTTCCCAAGGTCTTGATTCTTATATCTCGTCCATTGCACTCCAGAGCAAATTCTGCAATAAAAATTGTAATCTTACACTGCTGTGATCTCATTATGGAAGTTCTTGGATATATAACAATTTTTAAGTACATTTTTATAAGTTTTATAACAAAAATATGAAATTGATCAAAAACTGAGCTTGAGGTCAAGAATGGAATCAGTTACGATACCTGGAAATAGTAGAAGTACATGGAAAGAAGAGTGGTGGTTTCTAGGGAAACTGGGGTCACTTGTTAGCATGAGAGACTTGCAGCACCTTTGGGAATAGGGTAAGTCTTCCCTATTGCAAAACTAGCAGATTTGACTGATGTTTGAAGACATCTTCAGCCATGTTCTCCATGACTAAATGGCGTGACATAAACTGAAGTAGGTTGTGTCATCCTTCCACATGGATTTTCAGTGTTGCCAACCAAACTTAAGAGAGTAACAACTTCTTTGGTTGTCTTTGTCTAGTGCAGCCATAATACATGGCTTTGACTTTTCTGGAGAGTATCAAGATAGAATCTGAGAATATTTAAGGAGATTTCAGTGTCATTTTTGGAAATGAATTACTGCCTGCTGAAACTGCTAATGTGACCAGTATCCATATTATTTTCTTTGAACAGTGGTGTTTATAACTACTTCTCCAAAGCTCATTGTACATCAGAATGTATCCTTCCTAGAAAATGATTCCAATATTAAAACAAATACAAAGCGAGGTAACTGTTTGCTTCTGTGTTCTGGTAATGTTCATATTAAAATGTATAGCTACTCTTAAAAGAATATGTACTCTGGAAATGCAAGGTAGTCTCAGTGGAAGTTCTATCTGGCTCAGGATATATAAAGCTTTCAAATGACCTGGAGTGATCACTTTATTAACAGGCTTTAGTCCAAAAATAAAATTGTGACTCTGATTTGACAGGCTAAATATATCCTGCTACTATGTGTCATAGAAATATTAGCAGTTTGTGATATTTATCTCTGCAGGGAAGCATGTTATTGAATAGTTTAAGAAACTTTTCTGTGTTATTTCTTAAAATTCTCAGTTTTGTCTTTTGTCTTTTCTAGAGCCATCTTTATGGGAACCATATGTAACTAAAAGTAATTAAATAGTTAAGCAGTGCACAAGTACAGTGGAAGTAATAACCTGTAGTTGTTTAATTGGCCTCATTTTTAATGAAGACCTCTTCAATTATACATAATTGGAAGCTCTTACTGTTTTTTTAATTGTTACTTTCTCTCTGAATTTTCTGTTAACTGGATCGGTTGCTACAAAACACTATTTTGAAATAAAGAAATTTTATTTTGAATTATTGCCTGGTATGTTGTATTACATTTTGTGGTTTTTTACAATGCCTTTTACTGACTTATCATGGCAATGATAGTCTTGGATGCTACAACTGGAATAAATTACCCCTGAAGACAGAACTTGAATTCCTGAACTAATAATTTTGGTCATAGCTATTTTATTCTAATGATATATGTAATATGAGCGCAAAATAATATATTTAATACCTCAGTTTTTGGATTGGAAATGGAGGGTAGGTGGTGGTTGTTGGGACCACTGCACTGTTACAATTGATCAGAAGTAGTTGAAGTTGAATTCACAGTTGCCTTCCACTCACAAATGTGTACCCATGAATGCCAATATCATTTTGGAGAAGAATTCAGCCATTTAAAAATGCCACGAGAGGGCTTAGTCCCTCGCTTCCCCACATGGCTTTATAAGTGCTGAAACAGCCTTATCTTAGTTGTTTCATGCTGGCCCTAAACTATATGCTACCACAGCCTGTCTTAAGCTAATCGATTTTCCAAGTCCTCTATCCTTGAGGGGCTTGCCTGCTTTTCTCCATATCAGATGCCCAAATACTTCCCAGAGTGTTACTTCATAACTGCCTTTCTGTGTCACAGGCTTTGCACATGAGCAGAGCAGCAATTTGGAAACTTTTAGAGCTAGTTTTTGGGTACAACCCCCTCTGCCTCAGACAGCCTGGATTTTGCATGCCTGGAAGAGAATACTTCCAAAACTCAAAGGGTATACCACAGCACTACAGGGAGGGTGGTCAGGTTGTGTGAATTCACAGATGACCAGTCAAAGAACAGCAGTTACTAGTAAGCCGCCTATTTTGACTGTATATGTTCTATCTTTTATTCTACAAGCAAGCATACCTGACCAGATATTTATCCAGTCATCTCCACATGCTGAAGATTGGCATAAACTTTGGGACTGGTGGCAAACTGTTTCTCCAATGCAGTATCAGATAATCAGGCTATGGACCTATGTTTGCTTGCTCGTTTATAACATGGTCCCCCTGCCAATCTGACAAAGATTTAAGATAAGTGTTATTAATAACTTGTCTGGCAGATGATACTGTTTCACAGATATTATTTCCTTTAGAGGAGTTGCTAAATCCACATTTGTAGCAATGAAAAGGAACACTGAGCAGCCTATAGAACGTGCTAGCGAGTATGCCTGAGCATTACGCTAAACCTTTGCTATCCACTTTCGAATCACAAGAAGGTGCTCAGCAGCCAAGCCAGACCTCTGTAAACAGTGTGCATGAGCCAATCGCAGTCATCCAACATGGAAATACATGAAAGCCCTTGTTATTTCCTGGCACAACAGACTGCAGTGGATGTTCTAATCACTGTTCATCACATACCACATATTCAGGAAAACTGACAGTATTTAGAACTCTGCCTCTTTGTCATGCTCCTGACCGATAGCATCAAGTTGTGCATAACTTGTATTTAGAAAACGAATGATGCTGATATGTGACACTTAGCTCACATGCATGCCAACTGCTTAAGCCTTGTCCAAGTCCTGTTTCCTTCCCTTCCTCCACAAATGTGCACACTTCCATAATTTACAAGGTTGTTCAGAGTGTTAGTCTGAGTAGCAGTAACGGTTTCTGGGCACTTCCATAAGAACATAAAGAGAAGCCAATGTTGGATCAGGCCAATGGCCCATCCAGTCCAACACTTCCCCAATGGTTTTGACCCTTTCTACTTTTCCTTTCAGTTTCTTCCTCATATCAGAGAAGTTACCCCTTTTCAAGTTAAAAGTGGTTGTGTCAGTCTTTTTGGTCAATTCCCTATTTATACAAATGTTGAACTCAATAACATTATGGTCACTGTTGCCAAGTGGTGCAATCACTTTTACATCTCTCACCAGGTCTTGGGCATTACTAAGGACCAAATCTGAGTGTACTTTGTTTCTTTTAAAATGTAATTTTAAAAGCCAGCTAACTGAAGTCCCCCCTCTAAGAAAGAACTGCGCGAAGAGGCATGTGACCGCCCGAAAAAAGACGGAAGGAGAAGCAAGAACCTCCCTGATAGATTTTATTGCACTTAAGAAAAACAAAATCAAAATAAAGTAAAAAGCTTTGAAGTCCTAACAACCTACCGAAAGACCCTCCCTTACTCGGGAAGGCGGTTTCCTCTGGTCAGTCTATGCAAAACAATAATGACAACAACAACAACATCAATAATAATAATAATAATAATAATTTTGCTTGAACATATTGCTAAAGTTTTCATGTTGAAGATCATAGATTTACACAGAGAATACAGAATTACTTTCCTAGCTGTGGCTAACTGTATGTTTTCCATATGGAGGAGCAGAAGTAATACAACTTGACTGTTCTACACCTGTTTCCCAAATATTACTGGTTGCAAAAAGCCACAAATCTCTGCTGCTACAGACAAGAGGTGATGATATACCTAAGGTGAGGTACAGTGTGTGTTAAGAAGGAGCTGGGTAGAATTGTACTACTGATTATTTATATCTGCCCTCTCAGTGGCTTACTATTCTAATTCTAAAACAAAAGATAATCTGTGTAATGACAAAGATGAAAATTAAAACATACAGGCCACATCCAAGGTATTCCTTCAGGTGTACCCAAAGGCTT